CTCAGGCTCAGCTTGCATTCACAGCCTCAGCCCCACCCCTGCAGACCTGGGCTGTGGGCATTGTCCCCTCCTTCACAAACAGGGAAACTGAGTCCGAGATGAAGAGCCAGGCCTCTCCCCAGTGAGCGGTTCCTCCCAGGCCCAGGTGGCTGCTGATTCCTGCCCACACAGGGAGCAGCTGGGGCAGAGCCTGGGCATCAGCATCGGGAGCAGCTGCCAGCCCTGGGCCCAGGGGCTCAGTGTGGAGGAGACAGCTCCACCTGTGACAGAGGAACGTCCTTAGGCCAGTGCATGGAGTGGAGTGTATCTGAGAAGAGCATCATAATACAAAGTGATTCACGCATCAGGAGCAGGTTCTGAGGACTCCGTTCCCGTGATTGTTTTTTTTAGCACCTGAGAAGGCTTCCCATGGAGTCCTTGTTCTTCCTCCTGGAGGTAGAAAGAGGTGACCAGTGATGTTTAATTGAATTATCAATGTGCAAACACAAAGCTGTGTTTTAGGATCTAGGTTCTGTGACTCCTTGTTGACTCTGGCCACTGCCTTGGGACAGTTGTTCCGGGCATCACCAATGACTGGATCTGGGGAGGCAGGGGGAGCCGGGCCCAGGGTGGAGCCTCAGAGCCACTGCGGGGGCTGAGCCTGCCCCTCTCCTGCCCCTGGATGGGAAAGAATGAGCACCCGGGGTGTCTGTGAGTTTCTGTGGAGCCCAGATGAGTGTCTCCAGCACCGTGGGGATGCGCCCTCGCCGTGGGCAGCACCACCCAGCCCGCCCAGAACTTGGAGAGAACAGGGCCCCAGGGCAGGGAAAGCTCGGGGCCCTCATGGAGCCTGCGCGTCTCAGTGCTCCCCCTCAGGCTCAGAGCCCCCGGTGCTGTGGATTTTCCACTCTGGTACTCGCACCCGTGACCTGAGACGACCAGCTGCAGCCTGAAGCCAAGAACCCTGGCGACTCCTTGTGCAGGGTCCTGCGGACTTGGTCTGTGTCCGCTCCAGCTCTACTGGTTTCTATGGGCAGATGGCCACCCCTGGGACTTGGCAGCCCCCATTACAGGTGAGCCCCTCCCCTGACAGACCCCTTCCCCTGCACCGCCTCTTGCGCCATGTGTTTGGCTCCCAGGGAACTGTGGCTGGACCGGATTCTGAATCCTCTGGGGAACATTGCTGGGTGGAGAGGTGGGGAGAGACGGGGCTGGGATTTCTGTGGTTCTGGAAGCTCCCAGGTGGGTAGGGGTCAAGGACCTCAGTCAGGCGTTGTCAGAGCCTCTGTGGATCTCTGCTCTGGACAGTGAGAACCAAGAGGGCCCATGTGTCTGGGTGGACGGAGACCTGGGAGCTGCCCCTTGCACAGGGGTCCACTGACCAGCTGCAACTAATGGGGCGTGGTAGCGGGCGGCTCCTCCCACCATCGCCCTGGAATTAGAACCAACTGCGGGCTGGAAGGAGCAGTCCGGGCATCTCCCCGGGGAGATTCAGGTGTTAAGCACTAGGAATATTTTATATTGAGTCACCTGGGTCCCAGGACAGGTTGCGTCTGGGTCTTGCGGTCGTGTGGGTATTTCATGAGTTGTGAGCATGGGCATTGCTAGGAGCAGGCGGAGGGTGAGGGTGTTCTCTTGGGGCAGGGCAGCAGGACCACTGATTAGGCCCCAGTTAGGTTCTGCCTCGTCAAATTCCAGTCCCCTCTGACACCCACACGTGGATGTGGGGAGGTCTCAGAGAACGGGTGCCTTCTGGGTCTGCAAGGTGCAGGGCCGCCCTGAGGGCAGGACCAGGAGTGCGCTCTGGGCTGAGCTGGTGGCCCTGGTGCTTGTGCCTCCTGTGCCCAGGGCTGGCAGGAGGGGCCAGGGCCACGGGCAGTGGAGAGAGGGGGGTGGACAGGTCTTCTGTGTGTCCTGTGTGCTGTGGCCGTGGGCGTGTGGTCCCGCCCTGGCAGGCTGTAGCTCCTCCAGGGTGGGGGCAGACACAGCACCGCCCTGGCTGACTCCTGCCCCCCACCCCAGGGTCCTCATCTCCAGAGGTGCGGCCTCGGCCTCTGCCAGCACCCGCACGTGTGTGCAGGAAACTGCTCAGCGCAGGGCACGCCTGGGCCCGAGGTGTCCGTGACAGGAGGTGGGGAGCCCAGCACCCTGGGGCTCAGTGCTCTGAGGGCTCCGGGGACTGCCACTAGAGGAACCAGGCGATGTCAGCTCCCAGAATCTGTCTCCTGGACAGCGTGTGGGTGCTGCCTTGGAGACCCGTGTGGAGTGTGCCTCGTCCTCACTGCCCCAGGCACAGGACCCCATGGCTTCTCCGTCCCCCGGGGAGCAGCTGCTGCCTGGGAAGAACTTGTAGCCCTGTGTGGGTGCTCACGGATGTCCCTGCCTGGTTTGTAATTTATGTCAGATGTCATGTCGAGAAATGTGCATGGAAAATCATCAGGACGCAGTGTCGGTGACAGGCACCTGTGGCCACACACGGGGACCGGAGCACTGGAGCCTGGACAGGCAGCTTGGAGCCGCGCCCGGGGCCTGGCTGAGTCCTGGCTCCAGTGCCCATGGCTGCCACCGACTTGGTGTCCCACCCCCTGAGGCTCTGTCTCTAGGCTCTGTCAAGGGGATGTGAGCAATAGGAGCCCCTGCCGTGGAGGGTGGCCCCCACCCCGGGAAGCAGCCAGAATAGTTCCCAACTCTCCTGAGCTCCTGAGTGGTGCTGGGTCCTTAGGGGCCATGGGCAGCCCGGGCGGGGTTCTGGGAGCTGTCAGCGTCTGTGGGTCCTGGGCTATGGGGGAGCTGGCTCCTTCCTGTGACCCCCACTGGCCTTTCCTTTGTCCTTGCCCCTTCTCCTTGCCTCTCTGTCTCTTCCCTGTTGGAGGCCTCAAGCCTGATTTGGGGCTCTCTCTCCCCTTCTTTGTCCTCAGGGAGAACCAGGAGCAGCCAGGCCAGGAATACCTGCACCTCCCAGAGTTCCCTCTTGTTCTTCTACACAGGGGAGCCCCAGTGCCTACTGTGGCTGTCTTCCCTTGGCTGACCTATCAGCTGTACCCCTGCCCAGGACTCCTGGCTCTCTGGGTGTCCCACATTCAGTATTGACCTGACCCACAGCCCCCACAGTGGAAATGGTGGTGGTCATCCTGCCTCCCAGGCTGGGGCCAGAGTGAGTGAGGTTATGGCTGCGAAGCTCCAGCAGGGGACGACACCATAGGGGAGTCCTCAGGGCAGACAGAGGCTGTGCTGGGGTCTCCCCCGGATCCTGGACACCAGGACCTGCAGGAACGCCCCCCCTTCATGTTGCAGTGGATTTGTTTCTGGGAGGAGGAGCACGGTGGGGGCAAGAGGCGCAGAGTCAGCACACAGACCCTGGGAGTCGGATGAAAGCAGGCCTGAGGCAGGCAGCCTGCAGACTCGTTTATTTCAGTTGCTACAACAGCTTATATAGCCAAGCCAGCCAATCTGGTCAAGGGGCGGTCTATGCCCTAACCAATCACAGCCTGTTGCCAGGCAGTTTCTGAAGCCATCCAATCACAGCCTGTTGCCCGCGGCCATCTTGGCCTGGCCTTCTCAGTCCGCCACACCTGCAGGCTCTGTAGGAGAGGTTTCCCCACCAGGTTGCACACTGTGGCCTGTGATATGGGCCAGGTCAGTTGTGTTTGCTGTGGGTTTTGTGTACAGAGTTTCTGGTGCTGACATTTCTGTCTCCTCTGTCTCCCTCTCTCTGTCCTCCTCTCCATCTATTTGCCTTCGAATAAGTAAGCAAATCCTTTTAAACAAGAGAGAAGTGAGCAGCTGGGACGTGAACAGACACTGGTACGGGACGCAGGCCCCGTGAGCCGTGGCTTTACAGCTCCGTCACAGCACCGCTGACTTGAGAGACAGAACATTTGATGTAGCGTCGCAATGCCAGTGGCGCTGCACCATGGTTTGAGGCGATCATTCAGGGGTTGAAGAGAAAGGAGTGGATACATTGAGTCTGCAAAAGGCAAAATTATGAAAGATGCTAAGACCAGAAATGAAAAGGGTTTGAAATATCCTACAGGGTTTAATTTCTTAAAAAACTAATATCACTCTCTTCAACCTGAGAAAGAATTGTGCATTCTTTGTCTCACTCAAGTGGAAAGGTTCCTGTGCAAACCAGCAGAGGGCAGCACCGGCTGCGGTTTCCTGCTCTGACATCAGAAGGCACCATTGTGACATCATGCCTGCTGCCTGCACAAAGCCTTGGCTGGGCCTGGGTTCTGTCATTGGCCCAGGAAGGGCTGTCCCGGGGACCTGGGGCTGGGAACAGCTGCCTGTGTTTCCCTTGTTTTGTTTTTTTCCTCCTGCTGCTGTTGTTTTAGTCAAATATGTTTTTTCTTTTTCCATTTTGATTATTTTGTTTTCTTACATATTTTGTTATTTTTTTCCTCCAACATTTATAGTCTCTTGTCGCTTTCTTATTGATTTTCCTAGGATATTTCATTTCAATTTGGATTTCTTGTCACTTTTTCATTGGCTTCCTCTTGTTTGTGGTTGTTCTTTGTATTTTCTCTCATTGTTGGGTTTCTATTTTTTCACTCTGTGTTTTTTTCTCTTTTTTATTCCTTTTTTTAAAAATAAGACCATGAGGCCATCTGCATTACTTGTTATATAGTTCAGGTTCTTGGGATTTTTTTCTTTATGCTTTATTACTGATTTATTTGTGTTTTCTCACTTTTAACGGTTCCGACAGGGTTAGTCTCAGTTGTGAGTCTAGTTGAGTTCATTTAGTTCATGTTTTCTGTTGGTGATGTGAGCTGACTTTGTCCATTTTGTGTTTTGATTTCTGTTCATTTGATTTCTGTTTGTTTCATCTTTGTGCTCAAGTAGTCAGAGCCATGAGAGCTGATCTGTGTCAGCTGCTGGCTCAGGGTCTCCCAGACGTCAGCCCTGCTGACCCTTCCTGGGGGAGCCCTGGAGAGGGAGAGGAATCCGGAGGAAGAATCGGATCCTGCTGCTCCTGTTGGGTCAAATTTGTTTTTTCTTTTTCCATTTTGATTACTTTGTACTTTTTCTGTTTTACTTTGTTTCCTGCCACCATACATGTTCATTTTGTGTTTTCTCATTTTAACATTTTATTCCACTAGAACAGTCTCCTTGTTGGTGTGGTGTAGTGGATACAGTTCATGTTTTCTGTTGGTAACGGGAGCAGAGTGAGTTTGTTCATTTTTGTGTTTTGATTTCTGTTCATTTGATTTCTGTTGTTGCATTTTCATTTGTGCACCACTCGTCTCCCTTCCTGGGAGCCCCGGGAGAGGGAGAAGAATCCCGAGGCCAGAATCGCATCCTGGATGGGGACTTCCCGGGGGGGGACTGACTGCGGTCCCCCAAGCCCTCAGTGTCCCCAGTGGCTCCCGCGTCCCTCAGCAGAGCGGGGCAGGAGGTGTCCATGGCGGCTCCTGGACGGAGCTGAGAAGGCTGTCAGGTGGGACAGGGGCTGTCTGCACGGGGGTGGGAGAAAGGGTTGTTACTGCGAGGTTCAGCCTGATTCAGGGGACTCAGTTGGGGTCTCCCATGTTTGCAGGAGAGGGGCAGTGGCAGTGTGGGCCCCTCTGTCCCCTGCACAGGTAACTACTGCCCAGTCCGGGTGGCTCTACAAGGTTTAGGATCCAAAGAAGCCCCAGAAACCTGATCTGCACCAGCAAGAAGACTTCCTGTGGAAGGACCTCTTGGTGGTAAGGGACTCACCCACAGAGGGGCGGGGTCACCCCAGACAGCCAGGGTGTCCACTGGTTTTGCATCTGTGTGCAGGAATGGAGCAGGTGCATAGGGGAGGGGGGAAGGACTCACACTGATGCCCATGGCCCTCATTGGTCAGGGGAGAGTGCAGAGGGGCTGCGGGCTTCACCCCTGCCGGTTCTGGAGGCTCCAGCAGCATGAGCCATCCCGCGTGGGCTGGCTGTGTGCAGCTCTGTACCAGGGTCTAAGGAGGGGAGAGGCCGCGGCAGCTCCTGACAGGCCCCAGGCTGCAGCAGCCGGGGGTCCCTCTCCTGAGACGTGGAGCCGAGGTCTCTGCACTGCTCGTCCTTGCCCTCTGCCCCAGCCCTGGCCCAGGCAGTGTGGCCGAGCGCCTAGGAGCATCCTCACCACCATCCCATCCTCAGGACAGACAGACTGCCCCGGGGTCTCCATGGGAGACGCAGCAGCTCCCACCTGGACAAGGGAGCGCAGACGCTGGGCAGGTGGAGGTGGGGCTGCCAGGTGCAGGGAGACCGTGTCCTGGGCGTTTCTGTCCTTCCTGCAGGCCATGGCTCCTGTGCTGGAGGCCCCTGGCCCATTCCCCATGGGTGTGGACGGAGGTGCGTGCGTCCTCTCCTCTCTGAGACTCAATCGTCCGGGTCCCACCCGCCTGAGAGCCCTGACCTTTTAATGGGGCCCTTCAGTCCTTGGAGCCTCAATGTGCCCCCCTGGGAGATGGGTGTCTCTGAGGGCCACAGTGGCCCCATGAGTCTTGCACACAAGGTCCTGCACGGTGCCCGACGGGGGGGTCAGCTTTTGAGAGAGGGGACCCCTCTGTGGCTGCCAGGCCCGGAGGTCCCTGCCATGAGCTGTAGACCAGGCCAGCAGCCAGGGCTATGCTGAGGCCTGGCAGGGGGCTGGCATCAATACAGCTCTGTGCTGCCAGCACTGCTTCCCCGTGTCTGTCCTCCGGGGGCTGAGCCCCAGGGTGGGCATCTCCTCTGGCTTGGATGAGGCACCTGCCACCTCCCTGCTGGTCTGTGGCCTTTCACCAAAGTGCCCTGGGGTCTCAAAGGGTCAGGAACCAGGGAACAGGCCATGGCATGACAGGGCCCCTGTTCTCCCCTTGTCAGCTTCTCCCTGCCCCAGCCCTCTGACCTGTGAAATCCAGGAGGGTCCTGGGGCGACCAAAGGGTCTACCTGGCAGATGCTGCAGCAGAGCTATGTCTCTGGTGACCCAGGTCTCCCCATCTTACACGGGAAGACGACTCCAGGACTTCCAGCTCAGAATCTTTGCCTCTGAGGTCTCCAGGAGTAGAGTGTCCTTCTTCCTCGCTGCCCCAAGGATAGGACCCCGAGCTTCTCTCCCTGCCCCCAGGTCACCACCATCGTCCACTGGAAGATGGACTCCAAGATGCCCAGCTCAGAATCCTCGCCCTTCCAGAAGAGGTGTTGACTGTCCCTTGTCCTCGCTGTTCCAAGGACAGGACCCTGTGCCTTCTCTGGCTGCCCCCAGGACCAAACGATCTACCACCACGAGAAGGACTCCAAGACCCCCAGCTTCCGAATCCTCGCCCTTCAGGAACAGGTGTTGAATGTCCTTCGTCCTCGCTGCAAACAGGAGAGGACCCCGTGTCTTCTCTGGCTGCCCCCAGGTCACCACGATTGTCCACAGGAAGATGGACTCTGAGACACCCAGCTTAGAATCCTCGCCCTTCCAGAAGAGGTGTAGAATGTCGCTCATCCTCGCTGCCCCAGGGACAGGACCCCGAGCTTCTCTCCCTGCCCCCAGGTCACCACGATCATCCACTGGAAGATGGACTCCTAGACGCCCAGCTCAGAATCCTCGCCCTTCCAGAAGAGGTGTTGAGTGTCCCTCGTCCTCGCTGCCCCCAGATAGGACCCTGTGGCTTCTCTGGCTGCCCCCAGGAGAAACGATCGACCACCATGAGAAGGACTCCAACAGCCCATCTTCAGAATCCTCGCCCTTCCAGAAGAGGTGTTGAATGTCCCTCGTCCTCGCCGCCCCCTGAACAGGACCTCGTGGCTTCTCTGGCTGCCCAGAGGTCACCACGATCGTCCTAAGGAAAATGAACTCGGACACGCCCAGCCTCAGAATTCTCGCCCTTCCAGAAGAGGTGTTGAATGTCCCTCGTCCTCACTGCCCCAAGGACAGGACCCCGTGGCTGCTCCGTCCCCGGGGAGCAGCTGCTGCCTGGGAAGAACCTCGTTGCCTCTGTTGGTGCCCATGGATTGCCCTGCACTACTGCCTCTGTGCCTGCAAGTTAACTGATTTATGAGTTTAAAAGAAATCCATTAGGTCATAAATTTGTGGCTGGAGAAACATGATTGCTCAGTGTGGGTTCGGGCACCTGTGCTCACACACGGGGAGCGGAGCGCTGGGAGCCTGGAGGAGGCAGCTTGGAGCCGCGCCCGGGGCCTGGGCTGAGTCCTGGCTCCTGTGCCCCCGGCTGGCACTGCCTTGGTTTCCCAGCCCCTGGGACTCTGTTTCTGGGTCTGTCAAGGGGGTGTGAGTGACAGGAGCACCTGCCTCCCAGGAAGCACCCGGAACAGCACCAGACTTCCCTGGCTGCTGGGTAGGGCTGGGTCCTTAGAGGCGATTAGCTGACTGGGCGGGGTTCTGGGAGCTGTCAGCCTCTGTGGGTCTTGGGCTGTGGGGGAGCTGGCTCCTTCCTGTGACCCCCACTGGCCTTTCCTTTGTCCTTGCCCCTTCTCCTTGCCTCTCTGTCCCTCCCCTGTTGGAGGCCCCGAGCCTGATTTGGGGCTCTCTCTCCCCTTCTCTGTCCTCTGTTCCTGTCCAGTCCAGGTGGCCGCTGTTCCTCCCCTGACCTGGGAGCCCTGGGGTCAGAGCCCTGGGCGTCAGCATCTGGGAGCAGATGCCAGGACCTGGCTC